CCCCCCCACCCTCCCCTGTAAACATACAGACAGTCTTTTGTCTGCCTTTTTTACCCATGAGTAGACATGATTTGGCAGACTATTCGAGTAATCTATCTATCTAACTGAAGTGCATCGGTGTATGCGCCTGTATGTTTATACGCACAAATCCATACCATTAATTGTGTATAAATAGACTTTTACTTAATATTGCTGGTTGCTGTTTTTGTCATTGAGCGCTGATTCAAGTGAGTAGCAAGTCTCATGATGCTGTAGAAAATCAATCATTTCCTTGTAATATTGTTGTCGCCTCCGCTTTTCTTTTTTTTTCTTTTTATTTTTAACAGCCTCTGCTCTTCTCCTCGAGAGCCCAGCAAGGTGCCTTGTTTTGTGCTTATTCTGCTCCAGTGCCTTGGAGTGTTTACCAAACAGACGACTCTGCAACTCGCAGCAATCACACACCCAATCCGGACTACTGTCTTGAGTGTTACTGACGCTTGGGTTTCTCGTCTGCTCTCGCCTTTGGATCTCATCTCCTCCATCAACCCTATTGTAAAACACCTTAGAGATGGCGAGTGAGAGAGGGATTGGGAAAAGAAGGAATAGTACCATGTGCTATGGCAACAGGATTATGTTGAATCCGAAAATTGAGATGTTGCCTTGGTTTGGCCACATGTTCGGGTAAGTCTTGCAGACTCGGCTTTGTGTCTCGCCGTCTCACTCCTTCGGTCTGGTATCACCGCGTTGTCTCTCTCACCTCAGCGTGTCCTGTTGTCGTGGCCAATAGCCAATCATTATGTGATCTGGTGCAGAAGACCTCGAATTGCCTGATTGTCGATGTGGTCTGCATGCATGCATCGACACGCTTGTATGTGTTTGAACACGACTGTATTGCAGTGATTGGCCACGTATCGAGGTCCTTGTTGCTCTGCCAGCGGCTGTGACCTACCGGCTTCAGCCAATCCTCCGGGAGACACACTCTTACGTCGCGTCGCCATGGAGCCAAATAGACATGCCCTCAAACCGACAAACGCACACACAAACACATATAATCCACCTTGTTAGGCGAACAGACACCACAGTGACTTTGCCATTGGCCACACACGAATGGACATTGAGTGGTACGCCCCAGCAACCAGCACACACTCAAATCTGCACACTCGCATCACCCAGTGTCTCGTCGAATCACACACCCTCTCTGCTTGATTTGGCCCCAACAGTGTGTGTGTGTGTGTGTGTGTGTGTATGTGCTGTTGTGTGCATCGGTCTACAGCCTCCTCATGGGCACAAGCATAGTCAGGTATCGAGTGTGTGTGGACCGTGCAAGGGATGGGCAAACAATTCGCAGCATCATCATCATCATCATCATCATCATCATCATCATCATCATCATCATCATCATCTGCCATCCGTCAGGTGGACGCAGAAACTCAGCGTCTAGTCTGTACCGCTGCCGCGTCGAGGTTCCGCCATGCTGTCTGTGGAAGTCATGTCGTTGCGGCATGAGCCAAGGCACTCATCCGACCATCCGATAACAATAGGCCCTGGCTACCAAGAGAGTGCCACTTGGTTGGATACTTGAATCCTCTCGAGGGCAAGCCTGTGCTTCTAAGTCTTTCTGCGAGTGTGTAAGTGTGTGTGTGTGTGTGTGTGTGTT